TATATATATTACATCTATTGTCATATTATATATCATATATTGTTGCGCACCGTCGCTGTTGTCTTCCTCGCTGCCATGATCCTCGTCGTCATCGCTCATGTTGTGGTTGTCGGCGTGTACGTCATCGTCCATATCATCATCACCCTCGCTTACGTCTGTGTACGAGTCCGAATTCTCTGCAGTGCAACCAGCGCACACAATTTGCGTTCAGGACCACAGAAGTATAACTAATGTCGCGAATATTACTGGGGCATTTGTCTTTTTTATGAGCTGATCAGTGGACTGGAAACAGTGCCGGGCGTAAAACGTGTGCACGTGTGTGTGTGTTTGCGTGTAAATATGTGGCATGTTCTATTTGTATCATGGTGGTTGTATCATACATGTAGGTGCCCGCTGTTCTATGCGCGGAGTGTAGCGCGTAGGTTGTGCATTGAACGCAGTTCTTATTAAATGATGTGTATCATCGCTTTAGTATGACTCTGTGCGAGTGGGTGTTGATAGGCTTATGTGTACGAGCTGTAAGTACATATATATATGAAGGTACGTTTGTATGTGTGTGTAACTGCGAATATCTGCTTGTATAAGCGTGTATCTGCTTATGTGAGCGTCTGCCTACCTTCATAGGAATGTGCTGTTGCAGGCATAGCATTGATTTTTACACGCTCATGTGTACGCCGATATACGGCAATTAAATAACGAAAATGCACACACACACACACACACACATTCTACATGCCCGTCTGCACATAGACATACAGCCATTCACTTAGCATAATTGCATAGATACAACCCAATACATATTCTTATACACATAGCCATATAACTATTCACAAAATCATATAGACATAGTCTCCCAGACGGATAACGCACACAATCAATTGTGCACACATACACATACACTCACACAAGTACCCATATCCATTTAGTATCCACATACCATCGTCCAGGCCCCGTGGCACCCACTGAGATATCTCTGCCCATACATGCGCATCAACAATTCAGCCTGGTTCCCACATCCCCTCCCACTCCCACTATCACATACATACACGCATCCGATACAACCACACATGCATAAACATCTCCTTGTCCTTCATACATACACACACACAACCACCTGCACCCCCACACACTCGCCTCTCCAGCTAACAGCCACACACCATCGTCCATGCCCCCGTGGTATCCGCTGTGGTATCGGTATCTCTGCTCATACATGCGCACTAAGGTCTCCGCCTCGTTGTCATTGTTACTGCCGCCGTCGTCATCGGACGATGCCATTGCGTGGGACTTGTCCTGATCACTGTCGCCATCCATATGGTCGCCCTCATTATTGTCATGTGCTCGTGTACCTTTGTTGCTTTCCTTGTCTGTGTCCTTGTGTGTGCCCTTGTGCCTGTCTTCGGGTGTTTGGGTGTTCTTATGTGTGTCAGCAGGTGTGGGTGTTTCTTCTGCTGGGTCCTTCTGAGCACTCTCTGCTGCGGGTGGCTGTGTGCTGTTGCGTTGTGACTCATTCCCATCGATCACATCACAAGTTTCTTTGGCGCTGCTCACACTCCTTGCCCTTGCGTCTGCGGTTGCCGTTCTTGGTGTGGCTGGATCTGTGAAAGTTTGGGTTTTGAGTTTAGAGTTTTAAATATAGAAAATCAGGGTTCCAAGAGATGAGACCTAGCGGTTTAAATGAATATAGTTTTGAAGTCTATAATTTGAATATACACAATTCCAATTTGCGACAGCACTGTGTGTGATGGTCTATATATTATGTCCGCTCTGTTACAGGCTCGAAATCGCTGGATTGGCGCAACGTGCATTGCACCGAGGCCAAACCCAAAAACCCACCACGTGTACGTGTCCAGATGTGGTGGTATGAATTTATCCACAATATGCGCCAAAGAGATATATGTCAAACCAGCAGTATGCATACCATACACCCAATAGACGGATGTATACAACAACTGTAGGCACATTCACAATTTTTATTACAGTCATACTATGAGTGTGGTTGGCAATCGCTTGATATCGTGCAACGTGTACTACTTCAGCTCCAGCGCAGCAGCCATATCAAACTATGCGTCATATTTGTATACATGTGATAGTAGTTTGTCTATAATGTATAGGAATGCCGGATGTAGGTAATCAGTGAAGGGCTTATGTCCCTAATGCATATATCTACATCTTTCAGCAAAGCGAGACTCAGGAGCAGACTGGACATCAACTGATGTAAAGCGCGGCGTATGGTACAAGCTCCAAACCCACAGATAATAACGCACAACTCTGTGACTTTATACATGTGATAGAGCCATGCATATACAGCGCATACAAGGACGAATGCATGTACCAAACGAATATACAGCACACTTTCCGTAACAACAGACAGAGACATACATGTAATGTATATAATACATATACTACATATTATGCGTATAATAAATATTCTACCTATAATACATATATGCATATAATAGTTCTACTACCTATAATAGATAAAATACATAAATACATGTGATATATATAGTACATACAATTCATTTAACACACGTGATACATATAATAATATATAATACATACAATGCATAAAATACAAACAATACATATGATACTTCGAACATTTAATAAATAAAATACATATAAAGCACAAAATACATATTATACATATAATACATACAATACATATAACACGCATAATACATATAACACATAGCACAGATGTGCATAAAAGAAATACATATAAAGCACAAAATACATATAATACATATAATACATACAATACATATAACACACATAATACATATAACACATAGCACAGATGTGCATACCATTTGAACGGAAAGACATACCCTTCATTGAAGTTATGGCGTGGGCATGGGCGCGAGATCGCTGGATGTTGCGCATGGTGTACTGTTCTAACTTGATTATCGTGGACAGTGGATCAATCTGGATCACAGGTGAGTAGCCCACCAGAGCATCGTACGGATTACCAGCAGCCTTGTCTTTGCTTTTGTCCTTCTTCTGCGAATGGGGAATGTGTGTAGGGGTTTTTAGGGTTTTTGGGGTTTTGGCTGAAGGATAAGTGGGGACAACCGATAGTGTATACAAACATATACAAAGTGTGACATATATAATAACGAATTCAATCTAATTCGCAACTAAAAAGGCGTCACATGGATTGCCAGCTGCTTAGTCGTTTGCCATTGGCGCTCCGTTGCACATGCTGTGTGCGTGTGGGTGAGAAAGATGGGTCACCAACCGATTGTAGATTTCTACACACAAGTTAAGTAGGTCTGTGCTGTCGAATGGCGTATACATACGAACATATATAAACACGGGCATAGGCGCAAAAGTGATCAAAAACAAGAATGTCTTCAAATGTACATGATTCCCTGAAAGTCATATCTGTCTGTCTCATTCACAGGCTCTTCCTGCGAATCCTCGTTTACATATGAGT